CCCCAAAACCCCAAAACCCCAAAACCCCAAAACCCCTAGAAACAAGAATTAGTACATATGGAAAATGATAATATTTGAAAGAGTGTTAATCAAGAATTATTTTGACAATTAATTATGTTTTTAAATTAGGCTTTAATGATTGTTCAAATATCAAAACCCTATTTTGAATCATTATAAACAAATAGATATGGTCTCATAGCCCGATATATTTCTAGGAATTCTTCAATAGACTTAACTTCTTTGATTTCAGTTCCATAGTGTGTCTCAATACTCTTCAAATGCCCCATATTAACTCCATCATTATCGTTTTCTACAAAAGTAAGTGCTAAACCATCAGTTCCAAATCTTCCAGTTCTCCCAATTCTATGCTGATAATTTGCATAATCTGGTTCGTAGTAGCCCTCATTTGAGGTCACTGGAATATCGAAATTTATTACTATATCGACTTCTGGTACATCAATACCTCTTGCTAGTACATTTGTACTAATCAAAGCGTGAAATGATTACTTTCTAAAACCATCAATAATCCTATCTCTCTCTTAGAAAGACATAGTTCCACCTCCAATAAGCATTTCTGTTGAATTACCTAATTCTTTCAAAGCATCTTAAATGAAAATTGCAGTTTTCTTTTGATTAGTGAAAATCATTGCACACTACTTGAACATATCAAAGTATTTTTGTAAAAATTCTCTCCTCTTCTTGATATCTGCAACTAAGTAATATTGGCATACACCTTTTAATACCAATGCTTCTTTCTTCAGCTTGAAGGAGTTAAATTCAGTCACTATTGACTTAATATTTTCAATTACTTCATCATCCAATGTCGCTAAAAATAGTACATACTAAGGAAAAGGAGTGTTTGACTTTAGATAATTCACCAAGACCTCCAAAATTTCAAGGTTACTTTAATGCTTGAATATTTCATCAGCTTCGTCGAAAACAACTAGTTTTATGGCTCTTAGTTTGATGCTTGTTCTCCCTGTCAGCTTGTTAGCGAAATAATTTGGAGTAGTTACTAGAATCTAGCACTGCTTTATTTCTGCATCTTCTCCAATCTCTATTTTGATTCCTGTATTCTTTGACAATACATCTAAAACTTGTTTGATTTGTCTAATTAGCTCTCTAGAGTTAGCAAGAATTATTACTTAATAATCAGTACTAGATGGATCTACAGCGAAAATAGCTGGGACACAGAAAGCTCCAGTTTTACCACTTCCGTTTCCCGATTAGAAAAGAAAGTTTTCATTAGGACTTGCTCTGATTTTAGGTATAGCAGCAGCCTGAATGATTGATGGCTTAGTGTAGCTCAGAGTGTGAAGACCATCTTTAATTTTTTTTTCTTCATCATTACTTATAATTTCCTTCCATGATCTCTTTGAGTGTAGATCTTGAACTATTTTCTTGAACTATAATGATCTCATTCCTTTGATAAGTTAGTTAGGTTCTTTACTTTCCTCTTCAAGTGCGCTACCTTAGTTACTTTTTGAAGCTTCCATAATGATTCAATTTAATTAGAAATTATTGTTTATAAGCAAATTTGCATCTATTTGTTAGCTAGGGGTTTTGGGGTTTTGGGGTTTTGGGGTTTTGGGGTTTTGGGG